GAGTTGCATCCAAAGAACACCATACCTACTGTGAAGCATGGGGGTGGAAACATCATGCTTTGGGGCTGTTTTTCTGCAAAGGGACCAGGACGACTGATCCATGTAAAGGAAAGAATGAATGGGGCCATGTATCGTGAGATTTTGAGTGAAAACCTCCTTCCATCAGCAAGGGCATTGAAGTTGAAACGTGGCTGGGTCTTTCAGCATGACAATGATCCCAAACACACCACCCGGGCAACGAAGGAGTGGCTTCGTAAGATAGCATTTCAATGTCCTGGAGTGGCCTAACCAGTCTCCAGCTCTCAACCCCATAGAAAATCTTTGGAGGGAGTTGAAAGTCCGTGTTGCCCAGCGACAGCCCCAAAACATCACTGCTCTAGAGGAGATCTGCATGGAGGAATGGGCCAAAATACCAGCAACAGTGTGTGAAAACCTTGTGAAGACTTACAGAAAACGTTTGACCTGTGTCATTGCCAACAAAGGGTATATAACAAAGTATTGAGAAACTTTTGTTATTGACCAAATACTTATTTTCCACCATAATTTGCAAATAAATTCATAAAAAATCCTACAATGTGATTTTCTGGAAAAAAAATTCCTCATTTTGTCTGTCATAGTTGACGTGTACCTATGGTGAAAATTACAGGCCTCTCTCATCTTTTTAAGTGGGAGAACTTGCACAATTGGTGGCTGACTAAATACTTTTTTCCCCCACTGTATAATATGAATATTATATTAGAGTAAAGTTCTGTACATTCATCCAAAAAAAGAACAATGTCAGACTTATCCAGAAAGCATAAAACATATTTCTGCAAATAAGGTCTTTGGTTTTAGATCACTAAATTGCAAAACAAATAATATTTTATGCCTTGTTAGGTAACCCTTCAACATCACATCTTCAGCGGTTTTTATGTAGTGATTTAGAAGAAAAAAACATTTGTGATATCAACTGCATCAAGATAGAACTTTCACAACAAATAACTGTCTGACAACTTCTAATGATTTTCTACATTTCTTTCCATAACTACTGCCCACGCCCTTATCAACCAATAGCACATTTGAAAGATTAACAAACAGACCAGTGCCTACCTTGTAATGCCACAGGATCAGAAGTGTGTCTCCTATGAAGTGATCTGTATCACACAGATTATGGTTCTCTTTATACAACACAACCAGGAAGTGCCATGCCACTGTCATTTACATTAAACCTTTCATTGTTGTCACCTTTTGCTTTGGCAACTGTTTATAGTGGAAATATTTTTGGTTTCAATGTTCTGGTTCATCAGAAGAGTGACTTACATCTGCCATCAAGATCTTGTATGCTATTACATAGATTTTTTAAAAGTATTATTATTATTATTATATATATTTTTTAGGGGGTAGATCAGCTTTAATATTACATTTTACATTTACATTTTAGTCATTTAGCAGACGCTCTTATCCAGAGCGACTTACAGGAGCAATTAGGGTTAAGTGCCTTGCTCAAGGGCACATTTACGTCATTTAGCAGACGCTCTTATCCAGAGCGACTCACCAATTGGTGCGTTCACCCTATAGCCAGTGGGATAACCACTTTACAATTTTTTTTTTTTGGGGGGGGGGGGGGGGGGGGGGTAGAAGGATTACTTTATCCTATCCCAGGTATTCCTTAAAGAGGTGGGGTTTCAAATGTCTCCGGAAGGTGGTGAGTGACTCCGCTGTCCTGGCGTCGTGAGGGAGCTTGTTCCACCATTGGGGTGCCAGAGCAGCGAACAGTTTTGACTGGGCTGAGCGGGAACTATGCTTCCGCAGAGGAAGGGGAGCCAGCAGGCCAGAGGTGGATGAACGCAATGCCCTCGTTTGGGTGTAGGGACTGATCAGAGCCCGAAGGTACAGAGGTGCCGTTACCCTCACTGCTCCATAGGCAAGCACCATGGTCTTGTAGCGGATGCGAGCTTCAACTGGAAGCCAGTGGAGTGTGCGGAGGAGGGGGGTGACGTGAGAGAACTTGGGAAGGTTGAACACCAGACAGGCTGCGGCATTCTGGATGAGTTGTAGGGGTTTAATGGCACAGGCAGGGAGGCCAGCCAACAGCGAGTTGCAGTAGTCCAGACGGGAGATGACAAGTGCCTGGATTAGGACTTGTGCCGCTTCCTGTGTAAGGCAGGGTCGTACTCTCCGAATGTTGTAGAGCATGAACCTGCAGGAGCGGGTCACCGCCTTGATGTTGGCGGAGAACGACAGGGTGTTGTCCAGGGTCACGCCTAGGCTCTTCGCACTCTGGGAGGAGGACACAGCGGAGTTGTCAACCGTGATGGCGAGATCATGGAACGGGCAGTCCTTCCCCGGGAGGAAGAGCAGCTCCGTCTTGCCAGGGTTCAGCTTGAGGTGGTGATCCGTCATCCATACTGATATGTCTGCCAGACATGCAGAGATGCGATTCGCCACCATATTGCAGATAGATTGTGGCTTCCTTCAATGTAATTGTCTGCATCATTTCCAATCCCCCATATTATTTTAGTAAATATATAAAATACATGTATATATATTTTTAAATATATTTTCCTTTATTATTTTCCCCTAACCCTACCATCCCTCCCCTAATTGGAGTAAACTAATGGACAACAACACTTAAGTTTCTACTTCCAGCTTATACAAACGATATACATTTTACGGACACAGTATATTCTACAATAGTTATCTTTTGATTTGTTTTTAGTCCCATCCTTCAGCTCCACTCAACCCCTCCCATTTATCTCTGAACACCATCCAGTTTTGATTTCTATTTGCCATATAATTTTTACTGTGCTGTGATGTTTCACAAAAGTTTTGAACATTTCTATTCTCATAGATTCTACATATTGTAAATTAAAGATACATTTTTTTGCTTAGAGTATTATTATATTATTGATCGATTGACTATGACTTTTTAAATCACCCAGCAGTGCGATTTGCAGAGTTAGATGCAGGAAAATGTTGCAATTCTTCAGCCATTCCTGAACCTTTGACCAAAAACAAGCTACATATGGACAATACCAAAACATAATGATGTAATGATTCTGTCTCTTCACAGCAAAATCTACAGAGCTGGGATGGTTGTATCCCCATATATATACATTATATTGGTTAATAGAATTTTGTATAATAATTTAAATGGAAAAACTCTAAGTTTTGAATCCAGCGTCGTTTTGTGTATCAGTTCATAAACCACGTGCCATGGAATCGGTACATCGAAAATCTCTTCACAACTACTTTGCAATCTATATGGCACAGCTGTCAATTCTTCGGTCCTGGAATACTTTTTTATTCATCACAATTTTCTTTAGCCAATTTTGGTCTTTAATGCAAGGCCGACAGACAAGTTCCTTACTTTCTCCCCCTTCCACTTGCCTCTTCCATTTTTGGCGGTAATGCTGCAATTAGTTGGTTGTAATTTTGAGTAGAGCAGACATTTCCATATATTTTTGTTAGCTGCATGTGTGACATAACTCCACCAGTCTTATTTATGATATCATTGACAAATATTATACCTTTTTTTCAACCCCAAAATATTGTTTTTTTAATCAATTAGTACATTTGAGTTTAACCATAATATTAGTTCTGTCTTTTCTGGTGGATTAAACTGAAATTGCAACCAACTTTCTATGGCTTGTTTTAAAAATAGCTATATTTTGGAGATGATTTCCTTTTCAAATAACAGAAAGTGAGAGGTTGTAATCTGAATAAAGGTTAAAAGGCCATTCTAGAACACGGGGTGGGACATTCTTACTAATCTGCTAGAGAACCAGGAAGTGCCTTGCCACCATAATTTACAATAACCTTTCACTGTTGTCACCTGTTGCTTTGGCGTGATATCTGTTTACAGTGGAAATATTTTGGAGTTCAATGTTCTGGTTTCTCAGAAGAGTGACTAACAACTGCCATCAGGATCTTGTATGTTATTACATTGATATTTCTTCTCTGCCAGTCAATACACTACTATTCTGGTCCTACAGATGCCATACCTTCATTTGATCATCCTGTTGTTTCAGGAATTTTTTGAACAGCAGGAAATGCAAACTTGTAGTGTAATCAAAGCTTCTAAAGTTTGTAATTTCAAATCTCAGACTTGATTTGCCCTAACAAGAAATGTATCAATCCCTACAAAAAATGTCAATTAATTATAATCCACATAATAATTCACTTTTCCTGTTGCTGCAGGATTATTTTCCTGCTGTGAGAAACTGTGTCAAATTAAGATACAGTATCTTTAGGTCTGTTCTGATATAACAATACTTGCACTAAAAGACTATTGATGTAAAACACCATTACATCACCTTTACTAAGGCAGCATGTTGTGACTGCATGAGCCAATATTTGACCCACATCCTGTTGTCTCTGTATAATGAGCAATAGACGTGTTAATTTTCCTTACAGCATCACATGACCTCTATTTTGGCAACCACCAATTCAGGACAAAGGAACTATAACAATTGGCATGTGGCTGCTCTTTCAGCAGCATCGTGCACTGGTCCGTTTCAGTTTGTTGTCGTGAGTCGAGTAAACACTTTTTCTGCCTCTTTCTTGTCATCCACTTGGCATCTCTTTGGCAATCACCAGTTGACAAATACCCCATTGTGTTGAATGTGTAAGGATCGTTGTCGAACCTGAATGTTACACCCCTGGTCTCGTCAGAGGAACATCAACCTGCATGTTACAGTTGTTTCCATCTCCAAACTCTTTCAGCCATCTTCATATTACTCCCCCTCTTTAACACACACCCAGACGCACGCCCTCGCAATACCTGCAACTGGGCCGATGTCCAACACGTCTGATCTGATGAGATTGGGATGGGGAAATCTGTTGCCCAGTTCCATCCAGCTACTGTGACTGTAGAAAGTCCTGAAAATATAAGAATGATAAGTTGTTTAAAATAGTGCTATGCCAAATGTCATGTGATTTAAATGCTTTTAGCGAAACTAATATTTCAGCAAAAGCAATGTCTCTCTTGTCTTGTGGAGTAAGGAGATAATGTAAATCATCTAAATCACCTGTAAGGTGTGTAAAATGTCTCCCAGCGTCTGTCTTGCTGCCTCAAAGTTCCCTCGCTTGACGCTGGCTTTGACAGAGGTCAAGCCATTTGTGATGAGTTTCCGCCCCTCCACGAACCTCTCCCTATCAAAGTGGTACTCTTCATTGAACAGGTGACGGAAGTCAATTCTGCCATTTCTCCAGGTGACGTCTGTTATGGCACTCTGGAAACTCTTAGCAGACCCCGATGAGGAGCAGGCTAGAGCCAGAACCTCTGCAGTCAGGGGTCCGGGCTACACACACACACACACACACACACACACACACACACACACACACACAAACACCACACAACTCAAACACACAACACACACACAAACACAACACGCAAACACACACACACACACACACACACAAACACACACGTCAAACACCAACACACACACCACAAACACACACACACACACACACCACAAACAAACACACACAAAACACACACACACACACACAAACACACACACAAACACACACTCACCACACAACCACACACACACACCAACACACACACCCACACACACCACACACAACAAACACACACACACCACACACACAAACACACGGCATTGGTTGTAAATAAAATGTATTCTACTATATACTGTACTGCATTAGAAAACATAACACCAATAGTTTATTTACTATGAAAAAACAGTGACTGATGAGTCTGATGTAGTCCATAGTTTTGTGGCTTTAGTTTACTTACCGGCAGAGTGAAGTCTCTTCCCTCAACAGAGGCCAGTTGCTTGCACACCTGTGCCGTGGTCTGTAAGATGGCTTCCCTAGCTTAATGGCTTCCCTAGTGATCTCCAGGTGGTCCATGGAGCTGCGGTCTGTAAGATGGCTTCCCTAGTGATCTCCAGGTGGTCCATGGAGCTGCGGTCTGTAAGATGGCTTCCCTAGTGATCTCCAGGTGGTCCATGGAGCTGCGGTCTGTAAGATGGCTTCCCTAGTGATCTCCAGGTGGTCCATGGAGCTGCGGTCTGTAAGATGGCTTCCCTAGTGATCTCCAGGTGGTCCATGGAGCTGCGGTCTGTAAGATGGCTTCCCTAGTGATCTCCAGGTGGTCCATGGAGCTGCCTGCGGAGAGAACCAGGAACCCTTGGACCCCAGTCTGCAGGAGGAGGAGAGAGACTACGGCCAGGACTGATGACATCATCAACCTGTCTGTGGGAGGGAGAGGCCAGTCAACGTGACTTATCAAAATATTATAGTTTGATCATACAGTGCCTTCAGAAAGTATTCACGCCCCTTAACTTTTTTCACATTATGTTGTGTTACAGCCTGAATTCAAAATGTATTAAATATACACCAATACCCCATAATTACAAAGTGAAAACATGTTTTTAGATTTTTCATTTCATTTATTGAAAAATAAAACACTAATATATCTTGATTAGATAAGTATTCAACCCTGAGTCAATACATGTTAGAATCACATTTGGCAGTGATTACAGCTGTGAGTCTTCCTGGTATGTGTCTACTAGATTTCCACACCTGGATTGTGCAACATTTGCCCATTATTCTTTTCAAAATTCTTCAGGCTCTGTCAATTGGTTGTTGATCATTGCTAGACAACCATTTTCAGGTCTTGCCATTGTTTTTCAAGCAGGGGGGGGGGGTCTCTGATGGTTGAGGGGCAGCTCTCAGGGAACTGTGGGGGATCTTGGAGGGTTGGGAGCTTGGGCCGGTGGCCGATAGGTTGCTTGTTCGAGTCCCCGTTTAGACTTGGTGGGAGATCTGTCGACGTGCCCTTGGGCAGGGAGTTGACCCTGGTTGCTTCTGGGGGTTGCTCTGGATGGGAGTCTGTTAGATGACTAAATGTAATGTAAATGTTGAGCGGCTTCACTGCAGGTATTTTGCATGTTATTTACATTTACATCATTTAGCAGACGCTCTTATCCAGAGCGACTTACAAATAGGTGCATTCACCTTATAGCCAGTGGGATAACCACTTTACAATGTGTTTTATTTTTTTTTGGGGGGGGGGTTGGAGTAAAGCGGGGGGGGGGGGGGGGGGGGGTAGAAGGATTACTTAATCCTATCCCAGGTATTCCTTAAAGAGGTGGGGTTTCAAATGTCTCCGGAAGGTGGTGAGTGACTCCGCTGTCCTGGCGTCGTGAGGGAACTTGTTCCACCATTGGGGTGCCAGAGCAGCGAACAGTTTTGACTGGGCTGAGCGGGAACTATGCTTCCGCAGAGGTAGGGGAGCCAGCAGGCCAGAGGTGGATGAACGCAGTGCCCTCGTTTGGGTGTAGGGACTGATCAGAGCCTGAAGGTACGGAGGTGCCGTTCCCCTCACAGCTCCGTAGGCAAGCACCATGGTCTTGTAGCAGATGCGAGCTTCAACTGGAAGCCAGTGGAGTGTGTGGAGGAGCGGGGTGACGTGAGAGAACTTGGGAAGGTTGAACACCAGACGGGCTGCGGCATTCTGGATGAGTTGTAGGGGTTTAATGGCACAGGCAGGGAGCCCAGCCAACAGCGAGTTGCAGTAATCCAGACGGGAGATGACAAGTGCCTGGATTAGGACCTGTGCCGCTTCCTGTGTTCCTTTATTCAAGAAAAAGAAAAACAGAACGTAAAATGGCCTTTTCCGAAGCAATGTGTGCCAGTCGGCTCATCTGGGACGTACGTACAATACAACAATACAACATACAATACAACAACATGCTGAATGCAGTAAAGGTGGACAAAGACTGCCATGCACTTGCGGACCTGATGGTTTGTGACCGAGAGAGCAGGAGATGCATAGAAGTGATAAATGCCCTGATGTAATTGAGGTCAGAGGTCACATAGAACAGCAGATTGAACACTCTGAACAACCTTATGAGGAAATGGAAGAGACTGAAAATGAGGTCAGCTTTCATCAGTGGACAACTGTTGACTGAGAAGAATTAGTAAACACACCCATGTGTGTGGTTTTTCTTACATTGTTGTTGGAGAAGTTGGAGTCCCTCACTGCCCATTCCTACATTGCGAAGGCTCAAGCTCAGTAGCTAAAGCAATGCAAAAAGGCAGAGCAGAGCCCTGTGTGTCTGTGGGAAACGTGGGAAATGGGCCGTTGTTGACCGAGGCGAACTGCAAGTTGAACTCGGTGAGATACACTCCTAAATTGATAGTGCAGTTTGTTTAGGCGATTTTACAGCTAACTAGCTACTTCACATGCTGATATTGACTCTGGTATTATTTGTGTAACTACATTAGCTAGCTCGCTAGCCAGCCAGCCCAGAGAAAGAGCATTGCATTTTTCAACAGATTTCCACAACAATTTTCACGTGTTGCTACCAACCTTATTATAATGACAAAATTAAACATTTGTTAAAAAAAACATATTGTTTTCATATATTATTGTTATTTAACACTGTTTAGCACTGTTAATCACAGGAATTATGGGTTGGGGGGTGGATTATCCCTTTAAGGCACCAACCACTGCAACTGGTCGCCAATATCATTTGGGATGTAGAAACATCACTGCAATAGAAGTTGCACTGAAGAAAGAAAATACATTTAAAAATAATTAAATGAAGAATGAGTAGTCCTCAATGTTGTTTTTTGTTTTCATATAATTTTTCTTTGAGACGTATTTAAACAAACAAATTGTTCTCATTTTAACTGGGGGATTCTTCACACCTTTTACACCTAACAGCAGGAACAGCACCATCTAGTGGTCAGAATCTGGTAATATAACGAGATGGGACATAAACTGATGGGAATTTTTCAGTGGACTATAGTTGGATCCTTTCAGACTCAGTAAAATATAGGGCTGTTATGGCTGTTTCTTCTTTTCTCATACGACCTGTCTTTGGGTCAAATTCCTCGCTCCTCTCTAATCCACGGCTGTCCTACCTTATCAGTGACTGAAACCAGACTGTTGCCCTTTGCCTCCCTCCTTAGGCATAGTCCTGGAACGGAGCCAGGGTTGAACAGAGTTCAGACTAAACATGGTTGATCACAGCATGAGGGGGACGTTTGGACTGGGGAGGAGGCTGGTATATGTTTGAGAAATTGATTATGGAACTGCCATGTTTAAGTATCGATTGATAGGTTTGGGAATCAATTAGGGGGTCAGAACGTAGCCAGGAAAGGGCTCCGATATTTTTGCATGACAGGGCTTGGTCCCACCATTATATTCCAGACACGGAACTAGAAGGGAGGGAAGTCAGATACCGCCATTAAGGAACTGGGCGGAGCGGTCAAGAGGTGAAAACTGGAGACAGTGGTGGAGGAACCAAAGAGGGAGGGATTAAGCTCAAATGTATGTAAATTGACTGTATAAACTGAGAGCTGAGAGGTGGAAAGTTAGATGCTCTGCAGACCACCTCGGCTATATTGATTGTAATAAAGTCTATCTTAATTCTACAAAAACTCTGAAAAAACGTTTGTGTTTGACTGAGGACAAAGACAATTTTCTACAACACAACCTAACAACTTCAACTACTAATGTCTCTGAACAGAGGGAAAAAAACACAAAATTCAGTGATAATACATTACATAGTATGATTAAACAATTATCCAAGCCGCAGCTTCATACTACTAGTCAAACATTGAGAACTGATACTGTATACTGGCCATTGGGTGGGCTTGGTGTGGGCCCTGGGGGGGGGGGGGGGTCCGTGGGTGGCTTTTGACCATTTATTTCGATTCCTCAAGTCTTAAATCATTGCTAAGAAGAGGTTTGGTCCAAATCGGACATTGTGTACTATACTGTCGAGTTCAAATTGTCTTTCAACATAATGTTGCAGGAATGCTTATCTTCTCTGTTTCTGACTATAGAAACCATTTCAGAACAACCTGAGATGTGGGTTTCATGTCTTGCTGAAATGGAACGACCCCGGATGGCTTCACCTCTGGTGTTCTTCTGAACCACCTGACAGAGTTTGTTGTCAAGGCAGATTTCATGGACGTTGAGGCGGTTGAAGTCTCCAAGAATTGCAAGTCCAAAGTCTGGAGCAGAGCAGGTCAGACGAGGATATTAGATGTTCAATGAGTTCATCTTGATGTGGTGATTGAGGCGTTGAGTACACCACACACACACAGCAACAGTAAGATATGTCTCAGGGGTCTCACTGCATTCCAGATGGTCGGGAACACTGATGCAGGTTAAGGGGTATGAGCACAGTCTCCGATGTACATTGCAACACCTCCACCATGGCGAGAGGTTCAGTTTGGCCCAGAAAAAAAAGATGCAAATATATTATCGTATAGTGGCCACTGTCTTTGATATTATCAGTTTGGCCAACCTTTAAAAGGCCGAAGTAACGTTAGCGAACTCGTAAGAAAATGCAACTGACGCGTCAGCGGAAATCGTTTTATTCAGAATTTCCCCCCCTCAGTTTTGACCCTCGCTCGTGTGAGACAGAGGCCTGTTGTGTGGATATTTCCAGCTTAGTAAGATGTATGCAATGATCCGAATGTGCGATGGTGACCAGACAGTCAAGTTTGTATGTAGGTGAGTTGGTATGTCTTTTTGGCAGACATCACTCCATCTCTCATAGAAACAGTCGATTAATATAACCCTCGTGTTGTCCTCCCAAATGCCTTACGCCTTTTGTCCTCTGGGGTCAAAAATGACCCCGCCTGGTTTGACTGTTTATAAAGCATACAGTATACATTTTTCAATCAATTCTGTGTTACATCTTTAGTCTTACTTCTGTTCAACCCATTACTATAATTTTTTTCATTTGTTTTGGAATTTAGAGCCAATAGACCTTGTTTACATAAAAGTATACCCTGTTTTTAAGTAAAAATACAATGAAACTATGAATTATTTTGACCTATTATTATTTTATCACTGAGTGGTATTTGTAAAAGTTTAGTGAGGATGCTGTTTTTGAATAATTTTATTTTTATTAATGACAGCCCATAATCACACCTTTTGTCCTCTGGGGTCAAAAATGACCCCGCCTGGTTTGACTGTTTATAAAGCATACAGTATACATTTACAATCACTTCTCTGTTTCAACTTTTCAGTCAACTTTATTCCAACTTATTACCTGACATATAACACATGTTATAATTCATTTCCAAAACATTTTCAACTTCAAAACCTAACTTTTTAGTCTGAATGAGCCCTCAGTTGCATGCGAGGCAGGTAGTAATGGCGTGATCTTTGCAGATGTATGCATTGCATTTTTGGCACATTTTGGATGTTTTGAA